CCAAGTGCCTATAGTAGTGGAAGTAGGACGAGGTAGATGATTGTGCAAGAAGTTATAACGAAAGACTGGCTTTACAAAGCAAACATGACGAGAAATAAATATTTTTGATGTGGATGGCTCAAAACACAAGTAAGCACTTTGAGATAATGAATACCCAAGAAAAACACATGGTCTGGAATGTGGATCAAGTTTGTGTAACGAATATGATCGCAGCCAAGGATATCACAAACACCCAAAACCTTCAATTTTGAGTAGTTAGGTACGCTGCTGAAAATTAATTCATAAGGAGAGGAAAGATGAATAGTAGAGCTTGGCATCCTATTAATTAAATACATAGCAGTTGAAAATGCATGCGACCAGGATTTTAATGGAAGATATGCTTGAATAAGCAATGTGAGGCCAATTTCGACAATGTGACGGTGTCGTCTTTCTAAGTATCCATTATGTTCAAGTGTGTGAGGTGGGGTTGTTAGATGAGAGATGCCATTGAGAGCAAGATAATATTTGAGGCCCAAATATTCTCCCTCATTGTCTGAATAGAGAGTTTGAATTTTGAGCTTAAAATGATTTTTTACAATTGCTTTGAAATGAATATAGATGTCTTTAACTGCAGATTTTATTTTTTAGAGTGTAAAACCATATGTATTTGGTGAAGCGATAAAAAAAATGACATAATACTTGAATTCATCATGAGATAAAATAGGAGATGTCCATACACCAGAAAAGATTATTTCAAGTGGTTGCTTGGAAACAAGAGAAGAAGTTGAAAAAGTCAACTTGTGACTTTTATTACATAGACATGCATTACATGATGAGTCGTTAGACATAGGAGACGACGGACCTAAATTGAAGCTAGAGATAATGTGTCTTAAAACAGGAAGAGCTAGATGACCTAGACGTTGATGCCAACATGAAGATGTGGTCTTAACAGTTAAGAAGGCAAGAATTGGAGAAGACACGGGTTCGATGGTCGGCCATTCATACATTCCATCCTTAGTGTTAGCTTTGAAGATAATTGCACCCGTGCGAAGATCCCTCACATGAAAAGAAGAGGGTAAGCATTCAGTAGCTACATTATTAGTGGTGCAAAACTGGGAAATAATATTAAGTTTTTTTTTTTCATTCATATTTGGCACACAAAGGACATCATTCAATGTAAATTCAGTAGTAGGGGTTAAAAGAGAGGTGGAACCAGTGTGAGTGATGGAAAGACCCGTGCCATCGCCAATCATAACATCATCAGAGCACGTATATGGTGTATGATGTGATAAGTTGCTCAGGTCGGCTGTGACATGATGAGAAGTTCCACTGTCTAGTAACCAAGATGAGTTGTTGGAGGCAACATTAGCAGCATAGTGAGCTCAAGGATGCTAAAGAGTTGTTGAAGTTCTGGTTGGTAGTGCAGATCCTGTGTTAGTGTACTAGATGGGAACCAATTGAAATGAAGGACATTTCTTTGTAGTATGTCCCTAAATACCACAAATCTGATAGTAGCCTAGATAGGGACATGGTGAAGGCCGATTACCATGAGATGGAGCACCATTGTTGGGGATTCGTACATTGATATTAGGCAACGGGCGCCAATCAATGTTGCCATTATAGGATGAGGAAAATGGGCGACAATTGTTTGTCTTGTTCATTTGTCTTGTTTCTCATGAAGTTCATCAAATGTAATGGGGTTGTCACGAGCTTGAACAGCCCTAACAAGTTATTTCTAGTCATCTCCTAGTCCATCTAAAATCTTCTCTGTAAGATCATCTTCATCCATTGGTGCTCCAAGTAAAGCTAATTCATCTGCACGGGCTTTGACCAATTGAAGAAAATCAGTAATGTTCAGAGTGCCTTTAGTGGAATTTTTTATCAGATTTTTAACTTGTGCAATGAGTCCACGAGATGGTTTTGCATATGTGTTGGCAAGAATCATCCATGCCTCTTGAGAAGTTTTGGATCTAGCAACGAATGGAATGATGGTAGGAGATAAAGATCGAATGAGAGCATTGAGAATTAGTTGATCTTGGAGAACCCACATGTTATGAGCTGGATTCGGTGACGTAGTATCATTTGCAGTCAGAGTCTTTGGTGGACAAGGATTGGAGCCATCAATGTATCCAAGGAGATCATATCCAATAAAGAGAGTTTCGAACTGTAGTTTCCATAAAACATAATTGTTGGAATAATTAAGGAGGAAGTTATACTATCAACTTATAGCTATCATAACCTGATAAACTTTAACAAGATAACTTCAAAATAGTGCAAATACAGTTGACACTCATTGCCTTTAGTTGAAAGCTTTTGCTTTGATTTCAACTATTGATATTGCTTTGAAGGTGGGGGAGATGAATGTAGCAATAAATAGCCATGAGTGAGTTAGATATAAGAAATCAAACAGGAACAGAACAGGAGTAGAGAGACAAATCTAGAAGCTTTCTTGAATTCAAAAATGAGATGGTTGTTGTTTTTAATCCAACCTGCAACCACACAACAAAGGTTAATGAAGGATTAAATCAAATAAATGGAATGGAATTCAAGAAACCAAAATGAAGCAGTGAACTAAATGAAACGAAATCCCCCTTTTTAAATCCGGCTCAGAAATCTTTGACCCAACACCACAGAGGTAACTTCAATTGGGAGACTTTTTCATTCACGAAGAAGAAAAGGCACACAAAGGCACACCACAAAGGTCGACTTCGGTTTTCACAGAGAAGGAAGTCTCTTTTTTCTTTTTGCAGAAAAGTTCTCACACTAAGAAGAAGAAGGCAGCCGGCTTCTCTCTCTTTTAAATTGGTTGAGTTTTTTTGGATATATAAAACTCTTGTATATTATCACGAGGGAAATCAAATCTCCAAGATAACAGGGAAGTTTAAATTTGAGTCCAACAGAAACAGTAGGGATAGGATAATTATCACGAGATAATTATTTGCAACCAATTCTATCTTTTGTTATTTCATTTATCTCCATAGTCGGGTATTGAGCACCTAGCCCAATGGGCTGATTTCCTCCAAATACCCAACACAATTGGGTTACATCAATTGTGATGTGGGTCCAATATGTTCTTCAATATTAGGCTTATAGCCTATGAAGTTAAACGGGCCTCGATTTTCATCATTGCCTAGGGGATTTGGGTATCACTTACCAAAAAATACCCAACAATGGTTCATGAAAAAATATTTTCAAAAAACAAAAGAAGAGTCAAATGAATTTATGCAATAATGATTCAGAGAATTGAAGTCCAAGAGTTCTTTCCTTGTTTCATTTTGATAAACAAAGAGATGTACAGGTAATGACTTACGAGTTTGATGTTCAAGCTTGAAATGATCCGTGTTCACAAATCGTTTCCAATTTTTGGGCATAACTCACATTTTTAGGCACTGTAGTGAGTATTCTTGGCAAAACATACTGTCAAGGTTGCAAAACAAAAATAAAATAAAATAATTAAATTTTTTGTTAAAATAGCATCTATGAAATATGAAAAAGAGTAGAGTAGATCAAAATTAGATTTTGATAAAAACTGATAATATACGAACTGTAAAATTGTTGATTTTATGAAATATGTAATTAAGATTAATTAAAAATTTTGACTTAAAATTTTAATTTGATTTTAATCAACAAAAAAGGATAAATGTCTAATCATTATCCATCGACTCGACTCTTTGGACAAACGCAGGTATGCTTCACTGCTCAATAGGCAATCCAGAGTTAATTGTTCCAATGGTCACTGAATTTAGGTCCATATCTTTGATTGATAACTGAAGTTTAAAATATCGAGTTTTGATCATTGGACTTAGGTCCATGTCTTCGATTGCTCAATATCGAGTTTAAAATATCGAAGACATGAATTTAAGTTCAGTAAGCAATCGAAGATATGAACCTAAATTCAGTGACCAAAACTCAAAATTTTAAATTTCAGTGATCAATCAAAGACATGGACTTAAGTTCAGTGACTATTGGAACAATTAACTCAGCAATCCACGTTCAGGGAGGAAAACAAGTATAATGAGTGCCAGAAACGACAGCTCTCTTCTAAAAAAATTGTTTTTTGGATTTTGACTGGATGAGCTTTCCACGCCTTTATTAGGTAGGTAATAACGATAGAGAAATGGCTTTGTTGGAGGCTGGTTGAGATTAAATATCTTAGATCGTCATTACTTTTTATACATATACTCCTTACTGAATTTTCAATCATCTTCAGTAGAGAATAACATGCAATTCATAGTGGTTCTTGGGAGTGTTGTATGTAATGATAACCATGCCAACATCTTTAAATTCATAGTTCAAAAGATATACCTACAAAATACATCTTGAATGCAAATATTAACAGCTAAATCTTCATTTCTTTGCTCTTAACAAAAGTATTAATCGTTAATGAAACAAACCAATAAATCACATGAAGAGAAGAGGGAACTTAACCTCTTATTTTGAAACTTATTGAACCGTCTCATTCACGACTGCAACTCTAATTAGGATCAAAATATTTCTGGTCCACATAATTAAATTATCACATTATATAGGATATAACCTTATAAACTAAGGTGTAAAACGATCCAAGTGATCACTCATGATTTAAATATAATATCATTATGAGTTATACATCTAACCCGTTTTATAAAACATAAAATGCGCTTATTAAGGGTGAAGAGAATAGTGTTATCATGATGTGGAAAGTATTAGAGCGGCCACGTGGCAAACTTTTCTTGTATTAATTTTTTATTTTTTTCACAATTCTAATGGATTTATCCGTAAGGAGAACAAAAGAAATTATTTTAAGAAAAAAGAGACATTTTTTTAATTTTGTGTGTTAGAAAGGCTTATTTTAATTTTCAATAAGAATATAAATTGGACCGGGCCACAAACCATATGTAAGTCCATTGTAATGGACACCTAGACCAAAATACCACTTGTCCAACTATGAGCCTATCTCATACCCGTGTAAACTGACTTTCTAACCCGACCCGAAAGACCTCCCTGGTCCGGACAGTAGTGAGTCACTTTTCTCAACCAACGAATTCCTTCCTCTTTACTCTGACAAGCTGATTATAAGAACAAAATCAGGTGTGTTAGTGTGTATATTTCTCTCATAGAAAAATTTTCCCCCATTCATCTACAGTGCGAATTTATTTATTTACAGTTTAATCACGACTCTGAATAAGTAGGAAAAAAATGATGGAACGAGAATCTTCCACGGATGAAGAAGACGATCGCGGAAACCTAATCTCCCAAAACGACACCGTTAAATCCCCTCAGCGTTCTACTTTCGAAATTGGGGATTTCAGGACACGATTATCCAATTCTGCCCGACGATTCGACAAGAGGTACCTTTACCTTCTTGCTGTATTCTTGCCACTTTTTATTTTAATCCTCTATTTCACCATCGATACGAAGAACCTTTTTCAAACCCGCATTCCAATTGTAAACAATCATGGAAGTAGTAATCCTCTGATTGTTAATCGCATGCGAGAGTCTGAATTGCGCGCACTGTATTTACTTAAGCAGCAACAATCTGAGCTACTCAAACTATGGAATTACAGCACATTGGTGAGTAAATCATATTTGACTACTGTAAATAGCAATAGTTCGGTGAACATGAGTTCTGTTAATAATAATACTAATCATGGAGTGCCCGCATTGTCATTGTTGGAGGATTTGAAATCCGGGGTTTTTAGCCACATTTCATTGAACAAGAAAATTCAGGAAGTTCTGTTGTCAGCCCATGAAAATGGGGATTTCTTGGGTTTGAATGAGAATTATACGGATCCAAGTGTTGCGGATTGGACTAGGTGTAGTAAGGTGGATCAGAGGTTATCTGAGAGGAGGACTATTGGATGGAACCCAAATTTGAATAAGTACTTGTTAGCTATTTGTGTTTCTGGGCAAATGTCAAACCATTTGATTTGTTTGGAGAAGCATATGTTCTTTGCAGCTTTGCTCAATCGTGTTTTGGTGATCCCAAGTACAAAAGTTGATTACGAGTTCAAACGGGTGTTGGATATTGAGCATATTAACAAGTGTCTAGGGAGGAAAGTAGTTGTGACATTTGAGGAGTTTGTGGAGAGTAAGAAGAAACATTTGCATATTGATAAGTTTTTGTGTTATTTCTCGCTTCCACGGCCTTGTTATCTGGATGATGAGCGCTTGAAAAAGTTGAAAGGGCTGGGATTTTCGTTGGGTAAGATTAAGACCGTTTGGAAAGAGGATGTTAAGAACCCAAATCAAAGAACGGTTCAGGATGTCTTGGCAAAGTTTTCTTCAGATGATGATGTTATTGCCATTGGAGATGTATTCTTTGCTGATGTTGAGAGACAGTGGGTGATGCAGCCGGGAGGGCCTATAGCCCACAGTTGTAAGACTTTAATTGAGCCAAGTAGGCTTATAATGCTCACTGCACAGCGTTTTATTCAGACATTCATGGGAAAAGATTTTATTGCTCTTCACTTTCGTCGCCATGGATTTTTGAAGTTCTGGCAAGTTTTTCTTCCCCTTGTATTTTTCTTTTCAATTTTTGGTAGGATATGCTTGAATCTGACAGTACTTGGCAAAAAAATTTCAGTAATGCAAAAAAGCCTAGTTGCTTTTACCCTGTTCCTCAAGCTGCGGATTGTATTAGTAGAGTTGTTGAGAGGGCCAATACACCTGTTATATATCTATCTACAGACGCTGCAGAAAGTGAAACTGGTTTGCTGCAATCACTTCTTGTCTTGAATGGGAAAAGTGTGCCACTTATTAAGAGGCCAGCTCGTAATTCTGCTGAGAAATGGGATGCGTTGTTATACAGACATGGACTTGAGGGAGATTCTCAGGTGAATTCACAATTTATTTTTGATTAATTGATCTCAACTGCTAGTTATTATGCATAAACAGTCACTTAATTGTTTTAAGGTTACTTTTATTTACTCCAAAGGTAGAACTTTTACCATGAATTAGCAATCAACTTTGCTCCATGCGTTCATTGCATGGCATGTAAGTCTCCTTAGACATAGTGAACTTACTCTTATCTTGTTGGGATGTTTTTAGAGACTTCTATGAGAGGCTTGAAACCTTTATTTTTTCCCTGCAGTCACTCTCTGGTGGATTATATACTAGTTTTCAGAACCAAACGAGGATAACTAATAAAATTGGACCTCTTGAATAAATTCCATATAAGTTGGATTATGACTATAATTTTTCTGTTTTTCTTGTCTTTGAAAATTTTACCTTCAACTGATAGTTTTCTTAATGAAGGTGGAAGCAATGCTGGATAAGACTATTTGTGCATTGTCTTCAGTGTTTATCGGATCGTCTGGATCCACTTTCACAGAGGATATTTTGCGGCTGCGAAAGGACTGGGGATCAGCATCATTATGTGATGAGTACCTTTGCCAAGGTGAATTGCCAAATATTATTGCGGAAGATGAGTAAAAGAAAGAAATCTCACTGTAGATTATGGATATAAGTTAGGAATACATTTTAAATTTTCTAATGCTCCCGAGCTGATGGGATTAGCATTGGTCAGAGATGGAGGAGTTGAGTTCCTCTGATGCAATTGAAACTTATGAGCCGAATCAATTTATGTCGTGCCAGATTGAACTGCCAAAACTTGTAGCCAATGGGTGGCTGACTGGGGACTGTAGATCTTGTGGAACCTTTGTGTACTGCTGAAGGTTTTAACTTTTGCTCGATTTTTCTTGCACCATGTTCTGACGTACTATAGCTTTGGTACATAACAAATTCTCTATGCTATGTTTTTGTTTCCGATTGAACAATATCCATCTTTGATGCATTGTTGGAATTTTGGAAAGACTAATTAGAGGGAATTGAATAAATTTTAGAAAAAATAAGTTGATAATATATTCTTTTTAAATATTAATTTCTTGTTCTCTTCTTTCCCTTCATTTTTCTATCTTGCCATCTTTACGAAGCACGTGCTATTGTCAACTACCTTTATTGAGTGAGGACTTTGTGTACATAATTCTTAAGGGTACAATTTTCTATTTGAAACATCATTAATCGGAATAAGCTAACCGGCTTGTTTCGATTTTAAATAGGATTTTTACATTTTACTTCTTTAAATTGACAGTTAAATGATTTTAGTCCAGTCTTGATTATAGACTTTGAATTGATTTTTAATATGGATTTAAAATTATTTTTTACAAACTCAATATTAAATTAACGATTGAATTGATTATTAATTTGTTTTTAAAATAATCCACACTTTAGTCACCTGAGATTTTCTATTTGAAACATCATTAATCGGAATAAGCTAACCGGCTTGTTTCGATTTTAAATAGGATTTTTACATTTTACTTCTTTAAATTGACAGTTAAATGATTTTAGTCCAGTCTTGATTATAGACTTTGAATTGATTTTTAATATGGATTTAAAATTATTTTTTACAAACTCAATATTAAATTAACGATTGAATTGATTATTAATTTGTTTTTAAAATAATCCACACTTTAGTCACCTGAGACAAAAAGTTAAGAGTTTTAAAAGAATAGGGACTCCAACTGTAATTGTTTTAAAATAATCACCACTTCTGTCAATTAAAACTTGGTTTTACAAAAGTTGGGATTAAAGAGCTAACTAAATTATTTAATAAGGACTTAAGTGTTATTTGTTGTAAAGAATAGGGACTCTAACTGTAATTGTTTTATTGAGTACCCTCACGTCATCTCTTCTTTATCAACCAATATTTTTTTGGAAAATGCTAGCTGTACTGTTTCTGTACCGGCCAGACACATCCGAGTTGATTCACCCACCCCCTTGCATGTGTGGCCTGTATAGGCCCTGTTTCATATTTTTTCCCTCCTCTCTCAACTTGTCTCTCAAGCAAAGTTTACATGACAGCCAAAACCAAGTAGAAGAAAATCAAATCGAATTCTTTAATAATGGCTCCCGAACCCGAAGATGAGATCAAGGACAAAAAGAATCCTAGACCTCTCGATGAAGATGACATCGCCCTTCTCAAAACCAATGTACTTTGTTTTTAAACCCAAATTTTTGAGCTACTTTTCCATCCTCGTATTATACTTATGTACATTACTTGTAGTCCCGATGAATTGAAATAATGATGTGATATTGAATATTATAATTAATTGAGGATTACAGTTGGGTAGGGATGACAATTTGAACCGTCAAAATCAAAACTGTGGCTAATCGAACCGAACGGGGTGAAGAAAATCGAACCGATGATGCAATGGAACGAAAATGGTATTTGATTTTAATGACTCGGTTTGGGGTGGTGCGGGTATGGTATTAACACCCTCGCTCAAACTGAACTGATTACCTGTTAAATTTATTTTTTTCCTACTAAATAGTAATTCAACGCAAAATATATATTAAAAAATATCTAATTTTACAAACTCTACAAGAGCCCTTTTTCTTCCTTTGCAGTTATACATGATGGTTGTCAACTCACTCGCTCTTGAAGCGATCTCAATCCACAATTTTAGTTTTGAAAAACTTATTCTCTTACGATAAATTTAATCATTTGATTAGTTTTAGGCATCTGGATTGGCTTGAAACTAAGTTTACATAGTTTTTGCCTTTCTTGATTTTTTTCATCAATAACCGAGCTATCACCCTTGGTATCATATATCGTTGTCTTCTTACATATGTATCCTCTATCGGCCATTTGTACAATTTTGATATGGTAAGTGATCAACTACGCCAAAAAAAAAAAATCCCCATTCAGCTATGATTGCAATTTTACATTTTTCCCTCGTCCTCTTAACAAAAAGAATTTTTCCATTTGTAACTCGGCGTGTCAACGCCGGGGTACACACCCCTCATAGCAAGAGGGCCAGCGGCGTCAGAAAAGGCATGGGCTCCCCTATTGTGAGGAGACATGTAACCCGACATGTCAACGTTGGGGTACAAATAGCTCGGTTCTAACAAAAAATCCAGAGAAATTGAGAAATCTCTCGTCAAGAGGGAGACTTTGCACTTCAAATGAACCTTTGGGGTGTAAGCCAAATACAATAATCTGAACAATATAGTAACATAAATTATTTGAAGTGTTCCATTATAATTCACTCAACTATCAATTGATAACCATCATGTGTGACTTTTTTTCATAAATTATTTTTTTCAATTTGACGAATGGACCTATGAAAAATAATTTATTTTCATGGTTATTAACCGTCTCAAACCGAGCCGAACCGACTTACTTGATTATGGTGTGATTATGGTATGACAAAAAAATTTGTGGTTCGGTGATAATTTTGGCCGAATCGAACCTCATTGCCAACCCTAGTTTTGGATTAGTTTAGTAATCAGGATCTGGAATTTGGAAAATGAAGTGCAAATTATCATTTAATATTTTATTTCACTCAACAGAGTTTTTTTTTTTTTTTTTTTTTTGGGAAAAAAAAAAAAAAAAAAAAAATATTTGTTTGACCTGCCGATGTGGGTAGGTGGGTAACATAATTTTTGCCCACCGTGAACAGGGAATAAATTTTAGCATAATGAAATGACATGCTGCAAAATTCCAATGCCGTTACTTTGAATTTTCTCCGTTTTGGGTTTTCATTTGCGGCCGTTGTACTATTAGACAATTCTTAAGTTAGTAAATATACTTTAATTTGTTTTAATTAGGTAACTATACTTCACTGTTGTCTCAATTTTAGTCCTTTGTCTGATTCCGTCACATTGTTTAACGAGGACATTGACGTGGATGTTACATCCTAACGGGTTGTAAAAAATATTAAATTGTGTTGATGGCTACAAATAACGTGGTAATTATATATCAATTTAAACTAAATTTAGAAAAGTAATTGTATGTATTTGCTGGAAAAATTGTAAAGAAAAGAATGATTCTCGTTGAGCAGTGTTTTAGATAAATTTGCTTGGCTTGGCCTTTTGTGGGAAAATCTTACATTGCCATCTTTTCTATCCTACATCAAACTTGGGTAATTCCTCTCATACACTCCAAATTTCTTCCCATTTCCTCCAAATTTCTCCTTATTTCCTTCCAAAATTTTGTCGGAACAGTACGATCAAAAAGAGTTTAGCATAAGAGCAGCAGATTTATTTTATTTCCAGTTTTCTTCATAGTTGAAAAAAAAGAAAAGAAAAAGAAGAGGGCTACTGTTCACCTAAAAAAAAGTGAAAATTCTTTATTGTCGAGGGTCCTATTGTCATAAACTGCTTCTCAAATTTTATAAAATTATATTCTCGTATCAATCTTTTTATCTAGATAACGTCCTGCACCGTACTGCAATCCAGTCAACATCTTCAACCTCGTTAATTCCCATCGTCAACCCTCCTCACGTCGACGACACCACAACCACCCACCACCTCTATTCGCCGCCTTTACACTGCACACAAAACCACCACCACAACCATCGATATAAATCCCAAACGCCACAAGTACAGATTCAATTGTTGGCCTTCTCTCTCTTCACTCCACCTCCATCGTTGACTTTTAAATCTCGCCGGCCACGAAACATCAGTCGTCACCACCACTCCTTGCATCATACTTATATATTTCATGACTGTTTCACCCATATAAAAGCCACAGTCACCAGACTTCTTGCACCACCAGCTAGCCAATCTCCACTTCTACCAAAATTATAGACGCAGCAAAGCGATTCAACCACCACCAAAAGCTACAAATCTTCATCGTCTGCCTCAACACCTACGCCAACCTTGTCATCTGTATTAGTCGCGGTCTGCACTCCTATCGCTGACAATCATGTTTCAATCAGCGACACTGGTCATCAGTGCGGTCCAACCTGCCTACTCAAACCATCGTCGTACTGGAGGAACATTCATCACCAAAACCAATGCACTACTACTTTTCAAGATATAATTGGAATGATTTTAGGAGTTGAAAACATTTGACATGAAGGACAGGAAAAAAGCATACCTGGGGCCCACGTGTCGCAATTTCGTCAACTAAACATCAGGGAGTTCTTGATCCCTATTTATTATTGGTCAATACTACTATTTTATTTTTAAATTACATCATTTAAATCTTGTGTTGCTATTAGGAGAAGTTGCGGCACGGTCCCTGACCTTTTCGCTTTTTGCAGACTTTACCCCAACCTTCATTTTGTATCGACAAAGGTCCCTAACGTTTCAAAATATGCGCTTGAGGTCCATCTTGATGGAAACTGTCCAAAATACTGTTAGTTGACTGGAAAATTCCTTGATCTATTTGCTACCGTGACGATTTTATTGGATGTTGATACCTTTTTGGATGGTGTTTTGGATGGTTTCTATCCAGATGTACCTCAGATGCATATTTATAAAAGTTTAGAAACCTCCATTGTCACAAAATGAAGGTTAGGGTAAAGTCTGTAAAAAATGAAAAGGTTAGGGATCGCTGCTACANAAAGTTTAGAAACCTCCATTGTCACAAAATGAAGGTTAGGGTAAAGTCTGTAAAAAATGAAAAGGTTAGGGATCGCTGCTACAATTTTCCCTTGATGTTATCTTAATAATTTTAGCCTTAAACATCACTTGATTGGAATTATTGAACGAAGTGACTTCTCATGGTTCCCCACTTATCAACGTGATTGGAGAATTTGACTAGTGTATTGACTCTTGCTTTGCTATTTTACATGTACCAGCAGTATTAACTTGCTTTGGATTTATTTAATCCCAAAATTTAAAATTTAAAAAAATGGTTCAAGTTGTTATTTTCCATTGCTTGCACTTATTGTTTATTAATCTCTCTATTGCACGTCATTTAACTGCTAATAAGTGCATGCATAGTGGTCGACTGATTGTCTTTGTCACTTTTAGTTTTAGTACCTAGACATGGACCCTTCTCAATTTGATGCACTCACTAGACAATTAGCTCAACTTGCCACTAGCCAACAACATTTACAAACTCAATTAAC